ATTTTTGACTTGGAAATAATAGACTGACATTTCTTCTTTTTCTGTGATTGGACTGGTACACCTTTTTAGAAGTGATTGGTCTTATTTTTGAGTGGGCTTTTCTCTAGTTTGTCTAGTCATTTGCTAAGCTTTTCTAATATTTTGCTTAATTGAACTACCTCTGACTCTTGCTTTACAATTGATCTTAGGTTTCTTGTTTCCTGTCTTGTTGTTTGCCTTTAATGTTATCTAGTATCCAAAGCTTCATTATCTGTTTCTGAGGAATATTGTGAAACCTGATGTGGGACTTGATTTGCTTTCTGGTGTCTTCACCTCCCTAGTGGCTCCCTATTGCTACCAGTTACTAGTGGTATAGACCTTATTGTACTTCTCCTGTTTTCTGACCAATTATTGTTTCTTCTGAGTCTTATTGCCAGTATAACTTCTTTTTTAGTTTCTATAATATCTTCATTACTTTTTCTATCTCCATTTGCTCTATCACGGCTTTTGCAATTTTGTTCTCTTGCTTCTTTAATCATTATATGTGCATTACTTGACCTAGCCAGATTGACTAACATTTTGTGATAATAATAATTCTTTATACTCCATTCTAGCTCTTGACTGTCGATCTTTATTTGATGCTGGAGTGTCTCTCTAAGATTATTTTCATTCTCAAAGTATACTATTGAGTAGTTTTCAGATACCAAGGTGATCTTTTTTTTGATATATAAAAGGTCTTAGCCTTTGTATAGTTTAAGGCTTCTTCTGTAGATTTTATAAATACTCCATCAACTCCATAAAGTCTTAAGAAGTATCTCTTTCTCTCTTTTAGAATTTGAGTAATTTCTTGATCATCTTGTTCTTTGTGGACTATTATGGACTGTACTTGATTGGATTTTATCTTAATCACCTATTTCTTGTTCAAGTTAATATATTCTCGATGAGTATAAAGATGAACTTTGAACCATTTTTGATGGAAAGATATTCTATATTCATGAATATTGATAATCTCTTTAAATTCTTCTATTGTTTGTTTAATCACATATTTGCCAAACTTGTGATCTGTATCTACCAATGTGATATATTTTGATCTGTTTTTAGCTGATGGAAAGTATTCTGGCTTAAAGAACTTTTTGTTCTGAGCATATCTTTGGAAGGCTGATCGTGTGTTCATATCTTTGTTCATTCTTCTAAATATAAAGTTCTTAGCTTCTTTTTTGTTAACAACCTCCAGATATCTTGCTGTATCTTCTTCTTCATCAAAGCCAAATGTAATCCAATGATTGCTATTGATAAATTCTGTTTTGAAGGGATTTATTCACTTAGGTATTTTTGGAGCTTCTTTGAGATACGTAATTCCCTCTTTTCTGTTTTCTCCTGGTAACATGACTTGGAATATCTTCACCTTGATTGATTCCTATTGTTTTATGAAGAATAGATTTACTGTTGTTCCTTGAATCATGTTTCTTATATTATAAGACATGCTGTCTGTAATATAACTTTCTTGTACTGTTTCTTTTAATACTTCTGTTTCTATTTGTTCTATCACTTCTCTATCCTTTATTATGACTTCCTTAATGAAGTGCACTTCTTCGAGCTCTATGGAGGTTGGTTGAACTTCCATCGGTATACTTCTCATCATAGAAATTTCAACTTGATTGATGCTTGATATCTATATGACTAGCTTGTTTGTCAACATATTATACACCTTTTTTTCTAGCATTGACACTTTTAAATCTTTCTTTTTACCTTGCCCCTTTTCCCAAAAAGTGAAAATATATTGTTGCAGCATATGTTCTTTTGCCATTACCAATGGATCTATTCTCAATAGATTGGCAATAATATTATCAAGTATCAAGAAAACATATATTGACTCAGCAAAAATGTGGGGTTGATTAGTTGTTGTTGGTCTCAGCTCATACTATATTATCCTTGTTTTCCAGAGCACTTGCTGAGGATCTTGATAAGACACTATTTTTTCCAATACTTTCAATAGCTCCTTTTCTCTTTTCTCTAGGATCTTGATTATTGTTTGTTCTTTTGTTGACATGTTGTCACGTGATACACAAAAAAATTTTTCACGTATTGTTATTGTATTGATGTCTTTTTAATCATGTGCTCAGATAAATACTGTTATGTATTATTTTTTCATTATCCAATTAAGATAATATTAATAATATTAATATATTAAAATTATACTTTTTTTTTTATACTTTTTTTTTATTCAAGATTATCAAAACATAAACTCTAATAAACAATTATAATAATAATTACTTTTAAGATAAATATTTTTATAAATCTATAACCAAAATATAAATAATAATAATATAGTTGAAATAAAAATGAATAGTTTCTAAAAAAAAACTCTTTTTACTAATTCTTTGACTATACACAAAAAAGATGTTCACAAGAAGTTTTTTTACTTCTTTGTTAATAAAGTCTTAGTACTTTTATTAAACCAATTTGAAGTATAACTTCAAGAATTATTTTTATACTTTATCTTTTATCTACAAATCTATTTACTTAAAAACTTGACTTCTGGTAATCAATAAAAGTCAAGTAATACTTTTTTTATATCAATGGCAAGAAAGTTTTCAAAAGATAAAAAGCTATCTATAAAGTATCTAAAAGATCTTTTCAATCTTTAAAATGAGAGATTATAGAGATTTTCTATAGTAAAAAGATTTATTTACTTTCTTTTTGACTGTTTATACCCTCTTAAAACTTCTATTTTTATAGTTTTTTAAAGAATTTTGCCTATCTTAGTTTGACTCTAAATTTTAGATAACATAAATTCTTAACAAATGTGATTAGTTGATATGAAACATATTAGTTTTTAAAATGTAAACAAGTTCTTATTGGTCACACTTATATGTCTTAATGATATTGTTGATAATTAAAAAGAATATTTTAGAAATGTTTATCTTTTAGAAACTCAAGTTCCTTAAGAAAGACATTTATAATATTAAAAACTAAGAGATAGATAATATGGATTGCAAATCCCTATCTCTTCACTAAATTTTTCAGATGGTAATAAAATTTTAATGAACAAAAGCTAAGGTCTAAATACTTTTCTTGAGATACTGTATCTCAATCCAATGCCTACTTAAATGAAAAATCAGTTGAATTGACTTGTTTGATATTATGAGTAGTAACAAAGAAGATTTCTTCTGAGACTCAAAAGAAGCAAGAAGATTATTTCAATCAAACAAATTCCTTTTGAGATAAGGATTGCTTTCTTTTTGAACTTTTTTGATAAGACCTTGAATTGTTTCTCTTTTCCAAATTTTTTTTCTTTCCTTTTAACTTAGCAATTTATAGTTTATGGATAATCTACAATAACAAACTGTTGATAATGAATCTAGTGAATAGAGATTATTTACCAATTCTTTAGGAAAGTGAAATATTGTTTCCTAGACTTGACTTAGAGTACTTTAGTGTAATAATATATTAGTTATTATGTGAAAAATCTATAATATTGTAGATAGTTATATAACTTCTCAATAAAGATCAAACTATGTGACATGGTTACAAGTTAAAAAAAAAAAAAAATGAATAGTTCCTAGTGAATAAAAAGAATATCAAAAACTTAATTTTTCGATAAATAACTGATTAGATAAGATAGATTATTATTTAAAGATATTAGAATAAAAAAAAATAAATAAATAAAATAAGATAAAAATAAAAATAACAATAACAATAAAATAACAATATAAAATAAAATAAACAGTCTTATGTGTTATAGAAAAAAAAAAGCTTTTAGATAGATCGCTTGGAAATGCATCTATTAATTATACATATATTATTTTTTACCTTTTAAATAAGTCTCCAGGTTTAACCTCTTCCTAAATAAATTCTTTGCTTTTTTATTATTATAATTCCGAGAAGAGATGCATTTAGAGAAGTTTTTCTGCATATACTACTTTAAAAAAACCATACTAATTATTAAAATGTTTTCGCCATCAAATAATAGTTAAACTCGAAATCAGAACGCCCAGTGTACAAGATGTTCAATTATGGAGATCGTCCTTGCATTAACCATTGATAGGCATTAAACCCGGGTATTCTTATTGCAGTTTACGCGGATCATGGAAAAGAACCCCGGATTAGCTTTAGTTAGCGCTGATTCTCCAAAAAATCTTCAGCTGACGATCACCTGAATATTTTATACGAAAGGTGTAATTTATATTATAATTCGCCTTACCTTAAAAAAATTTCGATCTGTATATGATAATACTTAATTTAATTTACAAGTACTGTGTTTATTGGCTGAAGTCATAACATGCTTTGAAGTCGATTCCTGAATGAGAAAACAAGATCTTCCGGGAACACAAATTGTTCGAATTTATTAGCAGCGACATCAATCGCAATATATTAAAAAGGATGTTTTCTCGTGTCCTTTTGAAAAAAACAAGCGCGTATTCCCGCCTCCACGAGTGTCAATAATATCTTTCTCTTTAAACCTCTCAACGTTATCAGGCGAATAAAAAAACACACACCACAAACACATCGACATGCATAGGTCGTCGCAGTTAAATGAAAAAGAAACACTCCCTTTAACGAATAACGAAATACAGCAGCGAGGTAACTAGTTAAAAGTAAAAGCGATTGTGAACCTTCAGTGTTTTTTTTTATAAAAAACGTGATGTCGAATAAGCGATCTTTAAAATATTGACGGCCGCATAGATTGTACTTAGCATTGATTTTTATCTTTCTGACTAATGTTATCGTTCATGCGGTGGATTCTAGAGACTCGAATATTTGGCCTCACAGAAAAACAACTTTCATTATTTATTCTTGTTATTCAAAATTCAACTCTGGTTTTAATGATGCGTTATTCTCGAATTCGTCAAAGAAGACCCGGGGAAATCATGTACATACCATCTACAGCTGTGTGCTTGGCAGAAATTATAAAAGTAATCGTGTGTCTTGTGCTAGTTTTGTATCAAAAAAAATCGGTCGGAAAATTTTTATACGTACTGCAAAAGGAAATCATTGAAAAACCCGAAGAAACCCTCAAAATGTTCCTTCCTTCCGCCTTGTACGCTTTGCAGAACAATTTATTATATGTCGCATTATCAAACCTTGAAGCTGCCACATTTCAGGTCACGTATCAGATGAAGATTCTTTCAACAGCATCATTCTCCGTTATATTGTTGGGTCGATCGCTGAGTCGGGATAAATGGTTTTCCTTGATTCTTTTAATGATCGGAGTTACCTTTGTGCAACTGCAGACAGTTGGCACCATCAAAGTGTCATCAGGGGATATTGGAGTCGATATCGGTGTGCCTGTTCATAACTCGAGTTCAGTCGGCGCTATGAATTTGGAAGTTGTGCAAGAGTCGTACACGACTGGTCGATTACTTTTAGCTACACAGAATCCATTGATCGGATTAATCGCCGTCATAACTTCATGTGTATCATCTGGATTCGCCGGATGTTATTTCGAAAAGATTTTAAAGACCTCGGAAACATGTATGTGGATTAGAAATATTCAACTGGGAATCACCAGTGTTTTGTTTTCTCTTTTAGGTATGATCTTTCACGATTCACAAAATATACGGGAAGGCGGATTCTTTCAAGGTTATGATTCTCTTATTTACATGGTAATAATAAACCAAGCATTGGGCGGTCTTCTTGTTGCAATAGTGGTGAGGTACGCAGACAACATTCTCAAAGGATTTGCCACGTCATTATCCATCATTGTTTCCGGAATCATCAGCTTTTATTTCTTTGATTTTTGTCCAAACTTTCAGTTTACTATTGGTGCTGTTATCGTAATGGCATCAACATATTTATATGGGACATCGGAAAAACATAGTTCCGGAAAGGCAGCATCAAATTAACATGTTTTTGTATTTGTAATAATGGACATTTTGAATCAAATTTCTTCTTGAGAAAAAAAAAAAACTTCAAAAACTACAATTTTCAAATGATCATTAGAGACGGGTTTATACTGCAGTTGGAAGGGAATTCTTATTGTGTCATTAAAACATTTACTGTAATTAGTAATATAATATAATACAATTATTTATGTATTATTATTTAAACTCGAAAGATACAATTATTAATTAAGTCAGAAGAGCCGACTTAGTTGATATATAATTGGTTCAATTTATTCATATGTTAATTAAATAATTCGCTCATTGTTAAGATATACTTTAATAAATTTCAAAATGCAAACATACAGACAGGTCATACAAAAATAGGTCGATTTTTATTATATCACTTTTTTTTTTATTACCCGAACATACAACTACCAATGGGTTGCGTACCCTTTTTTTTTATCACCTCATTAACACGTTCTGGCATAGAATTTATAAAATGAAGAATCTTTTCAAATGGAATATTATTCCATGCCGCAGTAACGGCTTCTTCCAACTCAGATTCGTTTCGTGGTTTTCTGTTTTATGAATTCAATTCTTGACTTCTCTCCATACATTTTCGATTGGACTGAGGTCAGGAGATTGAACAGGCCATTCCATCGTTGTAATTTCATGTTCAGATTAGAGCTCCTTTACGATTTTACACTTATGGGTTGATGAGTTGTCTTCCTGAAATATCGTTTCATTAGAAGTCATCACTATCAGGTAAATAGCTTCCAAAACAACATTTGCATATTCCTATCCATTCATACGTGATGAGTGCGAAGTAAATGATGTAAATTGTTTCTATCTACACATTTCCAGACCATTATCGACTTGCGATTACTTTTAACGGTTGCTTGAGTACAATCTGGATCATAAAGTTCATCTTTATGACATTAGACTCAGATTTTTTCATTTGAGTCAATGCTTATGGAAGATTCGTCAGTTCATAAAACTTGTTACCAATCTTCTTTAGATCAGTTTTTATGAGCTAAAGCCTATTTTAACCATTTGATTCTATTTTTTTTACTAATCATTGATTTTCTACGAGCAATGTGTGAATGGATACCATTTTTCTTTAGTGTTCTTAATAGAGTACTTGGAGATATAGTGATGAATAAAAATTTGGCAACAAGTAATTATTTTGACATTTTTCAGAGGGTTGGATCAGATTTTATTTTTCAAAGAATTAAATGTTCATAAGGGTTACTGATAAGTGGTTTCTGATCACAATATTTTCTTCTTAAATAACTGGAATTACCAGTTGATTTTAAGCACCTAATACAATTTTTGATGCAATTATCTGACTGCCCGAGAATTCGTGCAATTTTGGCAGCTGACATGCCTTCTTCCTTAAGTCTTTCTACAATAGAACATTCTGCTTCTGTTAAATTGTTTTTGCGACCCATTAATTATACAAAAAAATTTTTTTGACTTTTTTTATTCTTAAATAGTAAATTAAACAAAAAGCGAACCTTTTTTATTAATGCACAGTAATACGCAGGTACAATTTTAATAGCAATAAATTAATTCAAAATCTTTGTGATTATTAAAATTATTACAATTGACCTATTTTTGTATGACTGTCTGTACGTATGTATTCAAAAATTATTGAATTAGTTATTATTATAAATAACTCTTCCAAAGATAAAACCAAAACAATATATAATAATTTGGGTTCAACATCATCTATTATAATCATATATTCAAGTTATTCTAGCTAAACGAAAAGCTGAAAGTTGGGTCTGATCATATATTCAAAAAAAAACTTGTCATTGTCAAGTTCTGGTTAAAAAAGATGGTGTAAAATATTAATGTGATTGGTTTTGTCAAAAAAAAACAAGCACAACTAGTATTGCTGGTCATTTGAAAATGAAACATTGAATTATTGAAGGAAAAGGGGATATTGAAACAGAAATAGTTTCAAAACAAGATGATAATTTTTTTCTTGATTTGCTTAAGAGAAAATGAATCACAAATAGTTTATTAGCCTGGTTAATAGATGACATGCAAGCATTTCATGTAGTAAATAATTCTAAATTTCAAGAATTATTTTATGAAGCTATACCACAATATTCTGTTTCATGTAAGAATAGTTTATATAAAAAAATAAGTGAAGCTGTCAGTATTGAAAAAAAAAATTAGATAAATTAATGACAGATTCTATGGAAACTTTTTTTTACTACTGATTTATGAACACAATATCATATATCTTATATTGGAGTTACAATATATTGGATGACTTCAGATTTTGAAATTAAATAAGCACTACTTATAATCGCAAATTTTTTATATCCATATACGGGTGATAATGTCAAAGATTATTTATATGAAAAATTTCAAAATGGAATATTACAGCAAAATTATTTGAAGGTATAATGGATAATAATTCTTCAATAATAAAGACAATATGTCAACTAGAAACAAATCATATTTATTGTATAGCACATACCATACAACTTGCAATTAAATATAGATTGAAAAATATTAAAACTTTAATTAATACGGCTAAAAAATTAAATAATTTTATATCAAATCATGATAAATATTGTGATTTGTTAAAAACAACTTTTCACGAATTAAATAATTCAGGTAAATATTTATTTATTATTATTTTTTTTTTTACATATTTAATTTATTATTTATTTAATAATAGAGTTATCTATATAAGAAATTAATATTTTGAATCCAATTATATCTAATATAGATATATATTGGAATAGTTCTTTTTTTTTATTAGAAAAGTTATTTATTTTCGTAACACACTTTCTATATTAGCTAATAAGCTTATATTAGATTCTAATAGAACTATTTATAATAACGGTAATAATTTAAAAAAATTATTACTTAATTCAGAAGATTGAATAGCACTAGAAGAATTAGTTTATTACTACAACCTTTCATTGATGCAACTAATATCACATCTGGTAACATTTATCTAACTCTTTCATTATGGTACCCTACTTTGCACTATTTACAAGAATATTTAAAAACTATAATATATAGAATTATAAATCCCAAATTATTCTAGCATGTAATGAAATTTTAACTTCATTGTATAAACATTGAAATATTTTTGATAAAATAGGTTGTATCACAAGTTTTTTAGATTCTAGATTAAAATTTTTAAAAATTTTAATATTAAATCAGACAGAAGATACCAAACAAAATTTAAAAAAATATATTGAATTATCAGAAATTTCAATAAATTCTACTTTATCACAAAATATTCTTTCTTCAACTAATATTAATAATTCTTCAATATTTATAGATTTTTTTAATAACATCATGTCTTTGCAACCTCCTATATCTCCAATTGATTTAGAAATTTTTTTTTATCTACAACTTCCTATTATTTTTGTAGTTTCTTTAAATAATTCTAATTATTATCTTCATAATTCTTTACAATAGTGACATGAAAAAAAACTACATTCCCCTTATTATATAGACAAGCACATAAATTTTTATCTTTATCTGCTATATCCGTTTCATCTGAAAGACTTTTTTCTGATGCAAGTAACATAATTACTGATAATAGAAATAGATTAAATCTTAATATAGTTTATGATTTATTATTTTTAAAGAAAAATAATTATTTAGATGTATTTTCAAACCAAAATTAGATATACACATATATATATTTTTTAAATATTAAATAATTTTTTTATAAATTTTTTTCTTTATTTATATAGTTATAAGTGAAAATATAAACCATGTTATACAATGTACTACATATAATACTATCAACATATGCCTTAAAGTATAAATACAAACTGAGTTTCAAATTTGACTAATTAGATTATAGTACTTAAAGATTATAAATAAATAAAAAAATAATTTATATTAGAATAAATCTAGTCATTTTAAAAATAAATCTGTAATAAATTCTTACTTATATTTTGATTTTTCATGACTTGTAATCTATAATTTCTCTTAAAGATAATAAAGACAAATATTAATTTGTATGTCACTAAAGAATTGTAGCTAGGTTGTGTCATCTTGTATTAACTGTGGAATAAGAGACTATAAGTTATCACTTTGTCAAGACTAAAACTATATCTGTAAGAGTTAAAGCCTTACTTATATTCTAGTAAACACTAGACATGTAATAAACAGTAGTTCCAGATTAGAAACCAAATTACCATGCAAAACAACAATATTTATAAATTAAAGAAAAAAACAAATTTGTATTTTATTACTTTGAAAGTTTCATAAAATAATAAAAAAAAAGTTATTTCTACAGTTTTTCAATAAAAAAAATATTATTTACGAGATAAAAGCATGTATTAAAGCATATATATTTTTTTATCCAATTAAAATTATATATATTGCATATTTCTGAATAACTAAATCGACTCAGTTGACGGCTTAGTCAATAATCCAGTCAGTCAACCGTTAGCTGATTGACTTCAATCTCTAGTTCTAGTTACTATTTTTGATCATGCAGAAGGTGTTCTCCATATGTGTCATTCTTGCATCACTAATTCAGCAATTATTTTGAGTTACATATCTAATAACATATGAAATTTGTGAAATTGATATGAAATCATGAAATTAATATTATTCTAATGCAAGAAAATTTTTAATAAAAAATTTTTTTGATAAATATCAAATAAATAAACAAGGGATCCACTAGTCGAAAAATATTTATTCGGCATAATGCCACTCATATAACATTCATCAAAAAACAAATAATTTGGTATATTAATGACATAAATAAATCATCAATCTATTTCTACCAGGCATAAATAAATCGTCAATCGATTTCTACTATATAATTCGACATATAATTTAAATTGTCAATCAATTCATACTATATAATTCAACATTATTTGCCATATTTGCACCATTTTTACTATATATTTCGTTAAATTTTTTCTCAAAAAATTATTAGACATTTGTTAAAATTTCAATTTTTGTCAAAATTCATGTATTTGTCGAATTTTTAATTATATATTAGATTTACGATTTAGAGAAAT